TACTCATATTCTCATGGTTACCATTATCATTATTTTATCATTTGACTATCTGAGGTAGTTGTGGTTTGGTAGACTAGTATTATTGATACTGGGTGATGATTGGAAGTGAAGTGGAAATTCGGACACCAGCCGGATTCGAACCAGTGACCAGTGGGTTCCCCCCCCCTATGCTATCTACCAACTCACCTACGACTCGTCTGACTGCTGACCACATTTTCATTTCACTTCAATTACCAAGGTGGGTTTGGCCAACTACCACGTGAATTCGTGATGTGTTACTACCATTTGATTGTATTCACACTGGCTGCCTAGTCAGTCAGGACTTCTCATCCCAATCGAAATCTAATTGAATTAGAGAGGTGGAGGATCGTATTGATTATTAGTTGACTATCTGAGATACTGGTGGTTTGACAGACTTGTATTATTGATACTAGTTGATGATTGTAGGTGAGATGAAAATTTAGACTGTGGTAGGACTCGAACCAGCGACCAATAGGGTTTCCCTATCATTATTACCACCCACTCGTATTATTACTACTATAATCAATATTTCTTGTTTATATAACACCTAAGTTCTCTGATACTACACCTTTATCAAGCTGCCTGGTTGACTACTATTGGTTCTGTTCAAAATGATGTAATCCCTCCATCTTAACCCTACTTCCGTTTGACGTAAGTAAATGATTCACTCCATGTTGTCGTGTCTCAGCCAATGTCTCAGTCTGTATTATGTATATGTGTATTCCTTTATTGCAGAACAGTATATAAAATCGTGTATGTAGAGTAAAAAGCTGATGAGTCCTACTGAAATTTATGAATTCTGCATTAATTACTTTTTTTCTCCAGAAATCATTTCATTGCTTGGCCGAGATGTAATCTCTTAAGGTTGCAGGGAAAACTCAACTGATGAGCACCAACATGTATAAAAGTCATATTTAAAACTCTCTGCCTATCTGTCGGCCACTGAATATATATACAGAGCAATGATTGAAGGTAAAGTGAAAATTTGGACTGCAGCCGTATTCAAACTAGCGACTAGATGTTGTCTACCAACTCAACTATAAGATCCAACTGCTGACCAGATTTTTATTTCACTTCAATCGACCAGATGGGTTTTAACCGACTACTATCCTGCCAAGGTTCAGTTTTTCCTTTCACATTCAATCATCACCCAGTATCAATACTAGTCTACCGAACCACAACTATCTCTGATAGCATTGAATATTTAACAAAAGAAATACAAATGATGTTTTTTTATCAGCTATTTTTGGGGAGTCTAAGATCATTTGAACAATTAGTAAAGGACTTCTCTTGGTACTGTTAAGTATTGAACGTGTCAAACCGGAAACTGTGCTTTTCACGCTGATTAATATATCAGACATACAGGAATTAGCTTAGTTTTGCTATGATCACATAGGTATTCGCTCGAATGTGTTCATTTTTCTAGGTAGAGATTTTTAGATTAGTTTAAATATTGTTTTCACCAAGATTTTCTCCTAGCATAAATCACTACTTCAATGTCTTTGAATCTATAGTACTGGTGAGTATCATTGTCAGTTTGACTATTTGAGACAGACTTTTATTTGATACGGGGTGATGATTGAAAGGAAAATGAAAATTTGGACCATGGCAGGATTCGAACCAGTGACCAGACCCGATGATCTACCACCTGGGCTGCAAGACAGTGGTCGATGGTTCAAATCATGCCATGGCCTAAATTTTCAGTCAGGCTGCAATCATCACCTTGTATCCAAACCTAGGTCCAATGTTTTAGAACTTCTAAGAACTTGTTGATTTCATGAAATTAATCCTTTTTTTTAAATAAAGAAGGATAATTTAAGTTTTTGTCGTCTTTTCAACTGCGGCATTTAGTCTGAGAGTAAATTTCTTTTGGCTAAAATATAATAGTCACGAGGCTTATCGTAATTTGCTGTCCACACCTATGATAAATTAGCCAGTCATTGTTTTGTGGTGAATTTAAAGGCCAACCTACAAACTGATAAAACAACCAATCACTTTTCTCTATTCTATGAAAAATTGTCGTCCCAACCAAAATACCGTAATTTGATTGGTTATTTTGGCAGTTATTAGGGTGACCTTTAAAGTCACCCGTATTTTACGTCAACTATTTTTAAATTAGCTTATTTATCGAATTTTATAGTCTACATATACATAACTAACATATTAAATACTTGTCTTCTAGCACATTTTGTGTGTGTGTCTGTGGTCATATAGACTGCTCTTTGAGATAAATCCTTCATATAGAGTATGACAAGTACACCCGTAAACATAATGTGTTATGCGAATGAGTAGCACATTGGTTAGATGAGCAGATTATGCACAGCTTTTGACCCTAGAAATTTAAACGGATAACTTATTTCACTATCAGTACATTTAGGAAAGAAAAAGCACATATATAGAGAATAGCCATGTCGGTAAATTTTCTTTATAAAGCTTAAGAAAACTCTGTTTTCAAAAGAGTGCAAAATAAATTTAATGGTTGAAAGATCCTACACAGAAATAGCCTTATAACCGTCGTTGCTGTTGTGACTTGGGGCCTAATGGATAACGCTCAGGTGCTCCAAGCGATCCGTCCTGGGTTCGAGACCCGGTGGGAACAAAATCATTTATTGGTAAGCAAATAAATCCAACTGGCAAGTTCCAGCTGGGAGAAAACATGCGTCTTGGATGCCACAGTTAGCCACTACCCATCAATAATGTAACAAAGAAGTTTTATGACGAATATACTAAGGATAACTTTAGTATCCTAATACAGTATCAGGTATTGATAATCATTAAAAGTAAACCAAAATCATGGTGCATTTTGGGAAAAAACTAATGATCAAATAATTCATCCAATTAGATTTCACAAAACTGCTTTTTCAGATGTAATGAAAGTAAAATTTGGACACTATTATGAAGTATAATTCCTTTTAGAGGTTGTCAAATAAGATTCTATGTGAAGCTTGAAAAGTAAGAAGTTTGTTCTTGAGAAACTTATTGATTTTCGAACATTAATCAATAATTTATTCCTGTAAGCACTCATAATCGTATACATGAACACATTCATAATTGATTCACAGAAATGACTTGAAAATGTTTCCTGTTAACTGTTCGATTCATATAATGTTACTGTATCCAGTTGAACACTTTAAAGGTATGTGTAAAATGTTCAAAGATATTTTCAACCAAACAGAATTTACCATCAGATTGACAAACTAATCAGTCACACAGAATATTCATCACATATAACTAACTTCACATGCTTATCATAATCGATTGCAGTTTGTAGGAGTACAACAATCTACAAGAGAACACCTTGATTCCAATTACACAAGAGAAAATATTCACAATAATATGATATGCAATCCTGATCGATGTGAAGTTGAACATCAAATTCCCTCTGTTTGTTGTTCCAACACTTACGGTGATTGGTACAACGACAAAATATCTACCATCAATCAGTCACCTAATGAAAGCTACAAAACCAATCAGTTATGTGTCCACATTTTCATACCCACACATATTCATTCATAACCACCTAGTCACCGAGATCCTCTCACATATACAACAGTTGGTTGGGGGATTCTGGTCAATGTTGATCGTTTGGTGGTGGTAGTGTAGTATCACTCATCAGAAAGCCTTCGATATTGGTTTCTTCCTCCTGTCTATGTGATTCGCCAAGATGGATCTACAACGCTGCATAGACTCACGTTTGCTCAGACATTTGAATTTGTTCCACTCACTATACAACCTAACAGATTTACAAATTTTGTACTACACCACCACTCCCCATCCCCCTACACAAGTGAGCTATATACAAACATTGGGTGTTGAGTTGCACTACAAAGAGGAGTGCATCAATCATATTTCGAAACTCTGATGGGAACCAAACATTTGCAAAATAGTTTCATCATCATGACACATCTGAGAACATCAAGTGAATCCTCTTACACCTCATCGCATCAACCATAGATTATCCGTGTAGGGAAGTACAACTGATGAAGACTATGTCACAACGTGAAATCTGATGAGCATAAGTAACATTTGGAAACATCATGTCATCAGCTTACTTCTCAACTATATCAGATAGTAGTTACAGTCTGAAAATATCCAATGGCACAATAACTACTATCAAAATCGAAATCCAGATCTCTATAGAAGTTACATCTCACCGACTACTAACCTGAATATCACAATTTGTTGTCCAGCTGTGAGCCATATTTCCACTTCACTCCGATAATCATGAATCCAAATACCAACCGAATTCGTTTCATCCCACTGGAACCTTTTGTCACTGAGGATGACTGGGGCTGAGATGAGAGTGTCACACACCACCTAATCACGCAACAATTTGATGTAATCTCAGTTCAGTTAAGGATTTCGGAAGTATTGTGGTATTTCGAGTAGTTTTCTTCAACTGAGAGGCCATGTCAAATTAGAGTTACTCGATGTCTGCATGTTCCTAGGTTGAGCTTTGTCAGTGGTATGCACCAGTAACTGCATGAATGATTGAGTTGAGGATCACCATGCATGTTGGTGAGCATGTTGCCACTCAGTCAGTAGATTGAACACTGATGGTTCATCACTTCTAATTTCTGTCAAATCATTGTACAACTCAACCGTCATTCATTCACAGCTAGTTGACACAGGATATGGCCATCTTCAACTCCATCTCTAATCGACTTGAGAGTGTGGACTGTTAATCAGTCCAGTACTACGATCAACACACCTCTCTAATACTCAGTGATTTTCACCAGTCTTACAACAGCAACCTGAATGGATAATCAGTGACAGGAATGTAATTGACACTTGGTGACAGATTACAATGTGTTAACTCGTATGAAGGAAATGAACTAGCTGACTGAATGACTTGAAACAGTTTTGGCAAATGTATCAAAAACTTTTTGCATGGAAAATGAAATCTCGATGCTGAATTGCTTAGTTGCTGGTTACTTTCTCAACCACCAATGGGAGAAACTTAAGGGAAGTAGCCTCTCTCACCTAGTAGTAGTAGTAGTAGTAGTAGTAGTAGTAGTAGTAGTAGTAGTAGTAGTAGTAGTAGTAGTAGTGGTAGTAGTAGTAGTAGTAGTAGTAGTAGTAGTAGTAGTAGTAGTAGTAGTAGTAGTAGTAGTAGTAGTAGTGGTAGTAGTAGTAGTAGTAGTAGTAGTAGTAGTAGTAGTAGTAGTAGTAGTAGTAGTAGTAGTAGTAGTAGTAGTAGTGGTAGTAGTAGTAGTAGTAGTAGTAGTAGTAGTAGTAGTAGTAGTAGTAGTAGTAGTAGTAGTAGTAGTAGTAGTAGTAGTAGTAGTAGTAGTAGTAGTAGTAGTAGTAGTAGTAGTAGTAGTAGTAGTAGTAGTAGTAGTAGTAGTAGTAGTAGTAGTAGTAGTAGTAGTAGTAGTAGTAGTAGTAGTAACAAACAGCAACTGATACTCGTGGGGAAAGTGGTAGCTCTCGTGCCACAGTGCTCTAGGGAATAACACTTTGGGGTTTGAAGTGATGGGTACTGAATTTCAGTCTCTCGTGTGCAGGTGCATCCAGTATCCCTGAATTCTGCTAATAGCTAACCAATAGACTCTAATATAATGGATATCTGAACAGTACAGAGGCATCTGTATTGAAATCCAAGCGCCAATAGAGGTCAAGGAAACTCACACAGTATAGCAGCAGGAAATTACAGGTATCAATAAACTAGTAGTGATTCTGTTCACACACTTAATTTTTGAGTCTGAGTCAACTGCGGCTTTCGTTTCAAAATGATATTCCTCATGGACTGGCATCAGTTAAAGGAACATTGGAAACCTTGGAGCACTGGATAACTGATTCGTCCTAGTATAGGACTCTTCAGCAGTCCGCACCGATGACTCCACATCACCAGGACCTTCAGATCCCTTGGCCAGTACCTTATCATCCAGTGGTTCATATTTCTAACTTCCATCAGTCACGACATAGCTCAACCATCACCCTATCTCATCGTCGAGTACTTGTCCTCATAACTGACTTCACTCCGTTCAATCTCCAGATATATTTGTTCTAGTTATTTGGATTCTAATAGTATGGTTTCTATAGTGAGATAAAAAGCGCATTGCCGAATACTGTAGAAAAACTGTGTACATAAAAAATCGATACGTGATAACAAAAACTATACGCAACAGACTGATCCTGATCATATTTTTATGGTTCCTTCCGTATTATTGGGAGGGAAATTGATATTAAGTCAGTAACTGATACACCTGAAAACTTATGAACACTAACCTTTAGACTTAACCCTTAAGGGTCATTCCATTCAGAAAAAGCTGCAAGTCAATGTCCATTTATTTAGTTCAGTTATGCTATCTGAAGCTTTCACTCTGTCACACACATACACACATATGAATATGTGGTTTTTTGTGACTGTTCGTTGTGTACTGTTTGATTGTAAAGTTTTTCGCGCTCCTCCAAGGAATCTAAGAGGTAATAGTTTATTTCATAAGAGAAACAAACACTGTTGGATAGTCGAATACAGATTGTGAAGTTTTCCAAAGACATATCTTGGTGGTCATGTAAACAAACACGAACTTAACGATTGGCAGATCTTCATAACAACTGCATCATGTACCCGATAATGAGTATAGTGTCTCGCCTTTTCAAGTTTAGTGGCCACGTGACTGTAGCGCAATAGACCAGTGGGTGAAACGAGCTTTAGACGTTTGTATACAATCCACAAGAAGAAAGAGAGAAAAAGAGAGACAGTTCTTGGCTTTGAATTCCACACTTCACCTTACATCATGATAGGAATGAAGTTGGAATTCTAGGAAATTTTTTGAATGCAACTAAATCAGTTATCATCCCGAGACTGATTTGTTGACGTCATCCAGCCCAATAGACTGTCAACCACAGCCTGGGTGGCTTATTGACAAGATTTATGATCTCTTCACAAAGTGATAAGGGTTAGAATCCCCGAGAGAATAACATCAGTTCCTCCATGATTTCAGAAACCTTTTGGTGATATGTGTCAACAAACAAGAAACGTAGATCACACACGGCCTTCTGACAGTCAACTGGTAGCATCTGCCACCAAGGTATACTGTAATAGACCAACCATAACAGTGTCAACACTAAAGGTGATGGGGGGTGACCCATGCGTCTCTTACTACTCATCCAACTGATCGGAGAAGGGAACTACAGAATGCTTGTTTCACTTCCTCAAAGCAAGTGGAAATCATTGATTAATTGGTGTGTGGATTCGAAATTATGTTGCTTGGCCTCTTCGAGTTCCATTTATTGCCGCAAGTAATATTTGTCTCACTCCTGTGTTCATCATCTTTGCTTATTACTCCTGCTTCATCGATGTGAATATGCCTACTGGAATCAGTGTGCAATAGTGCCAGATATTGTACCGTAGTTTTTACAGTCATCGTCATCTGTCTGTCTGTCTATCTGTATACCTACCTACCTGTCTGTCTGTCTGTCTGTCTGCCTGTCTATCTATTGTACATATTACTCGTAATTTTACAAAAGTTTATGGGATAAACGACGCTAATGAAGTAAAGTTGTTACATTGGTTGCAGATCATAACTGTTGTCGTTAAGGTAACAAAAAGTAACAATTTATGAAATGAAAGAAGGAAGCAGAATTCAAAAACAAAGGAAAATTAAAAAGTGCGTTATAAACTATTTACTCCAACTTGTCTCTACTCTGTATCCTGTTAAAAAAAAGTTCATGAATACCGTCTGTTTGTTTCACTGCATCTATGAAATATTTTATGCTTTCAGTAGGTCAAAGAAGAGTTGAAGTCCCTGTAAACATGCACATGACTTAAATAGTTTCTATTGTATGAAAATGCAACTAAAAAATATCTCGGATAGCCAAACTGATAATCGCTATGATGCTTCCCCATCACCTCTAATTCAGCTCGATTTCAATTTGTATGAGACCTCAACGGAGCAACCAGTGTGAAAGCGACGAACGGACAGTTGCATATCACAAATTCACGTGGCATTTAGACAAAACCTTTGTTGACTACAGAGAAATTAGGACCACGTCATCAGCAAGGTCTCGTAGCTCAGCTGGTAGATCACCGGGGCGGTAACGCAGAGGCCGGTGGTTTGAATCCTGTCACTGCCCAGATTTTCACTTCACCTTCAAATGTCACTCAGTATCAATAAAATAATATCTATTAAATTTAGGTATTTTTTTTGCTTGAGCTGATAGGGTATGTTTTATAATAGGAAGCGGCCCCAGCTTATTGGACAATTTTGTCCTTCAGTCAGCCAATCAGAATTAGTATCCAACTATTGACCTAGTGGTTTTATTTTCTAAGGGAAAACTGTGTATAATTTATGTGCTTTTTGTTAAGTAAAGTTGTCTTCCTTACAGTGACTGGCCGGTCTTTATCTCCTGATTTTCGCGGCTCAGCGAAGTATCAAAGCTAAGAGAGAACAGTCGCTATTCGTATCAATTCCAAGTATTTCGCTAAGTTATTAGTCTTCTCATCTCCAGTGTTATTTTGTCAGCCACCTCCATTCGGTCATTTCGTTTTGGAATAGCGTACTTAAGACAGTGACACTGTATTTCATTGGATGTCATCATTGTTGAATTCGATTCCGAATTCCAAAGTTCTCTAATCAGTTGTAATCTAATGGTTGGCAGTGTCTTGTCCCGAATGTCAGACACTCAGTTGGTATCTGTCAGTCAACAACATCTGAATCAAAATTCGGATATCTAAACAATTTTTAGGAACGGTCAGCTGAGTCCTGCGTTATGTGTGTAGAAGGTGGATAAAGTAAGAAAACAGTCTCAGGCTATCGGCAACAAGAGCAACAGCAAATGATCACATCAGCTGATGAGGTTTTCGATTGTTGGTACTAGTTGTTGTATGCAACTGTGTACTTATTTGGTCCAGTTGAAGAAACCATTGAAAGGGATAGCTTGAGATGGTTGAGGTTTTTGTCTACTGGTCCTAGTTACAGTATCATGAGCGGAACTTGCTATCGGATGGTTTTGGGGTAATCGAAAGAAAACCATGGTTCACCTAAGTTGCATCAGTTAGACGTATCTGCAACGCTGAGAGGAGACTAATATTCCTTTAAAAATATGAAGTTATATCACCCAATGATGCATTTAATGATACTACTACTGGATAGGATACATTGATTCATAATTGAAGAGTAACCGATATCAGGTTGTTAAATATTAGGTCCTAAATCAATTACTTGCTGAAAAGAGTTCAGCACTGATAGACATATGAATTTGATAGTGGGATCTAGAATGCATACTTCATCCTATCTGCAGCTTGTCAGCCGGATGTTTTTGTGTACCTCGTGTTCATCAATTCAAACACCTAAACGTCATCCCCTAGACCACTGAGGTACAATAGTAGCCTCTTCTACAAAGAGTATTAAATATTACTGTTTGTTAATAAACTTGTAAATGTTCATTGTTATACTGAATTGAATTGAACGACTTCTATTTGATTTCATTGCTAGCCACAATCAATTCAATTGTAATTTGATAAATCACTGTAAACCACATTGTCATGACAGTCAAGCATTCTTCTATGCTATAAATAGATCATAGAGAGTAGAATAACCATAATTTAAATGTATCTTCATTATTGACTAAGAAAGCATGAGTCATTTTCTAGTGATGGCTGACTCATGCATAGTAGTATAGGTTAAATATAAATTCATATATTTGTTATACACTGTACGCCAAGGACTATAATTGAATATATTTTTAACAAATTGACGTGGTAATTATAAATATTTATTAACTATTCAAGGCATATGAATGTATCAATGCTGGTACTGAAAATATAGATCCAGCGCAACACAGATTTGATACCTACGATCTCATCAGTTTCAGAGTATATACCGAACATCCATATTGATCACCATAGATAACAATATTATGTGAGTTACATTTTCCAGGTAGCATCGACTACAAACTGAGATCAGTTGGAGAACGATTGAAAACCTGGAAGAACTGGTTAGCTGCTTCGTCATAGTATGGGAATCTTCACATGTACACAACCACTACCCGGTTATTGCCTGTAGATCATCAAGTTTGTGCGACAACACATCAAACATAAATCATCATCCTTAGCAAAAGCCAAATCTTCCAGGCTCTTCACATCGGTTCAGCGTATCCAACTCTTCTCGCTCATCACGCTTCGCTACATGATCCAGTCCAACACAATCAACAAGATCATCGGGGATAGTAGGCACAGCCTTCTCTTACTCATCCCTCTCACCACTTCACTTCACTTCACTTCACTTCAAACGCATCACTCAGCTTCCCATTGTCAATTACTTGCCTGGCATGTGTTGCCTTCATATACCTGCTGAATGACATTGATAAAGCTTCGTGGTATTCCGTAGTGTTTCAAATATTTGTCAAATTACTTCTCCAAGTATCATAAAGTGTACACTGAAATGCTATGCTT